TGAGCCCAGAATGGTCCAAATCGGTCAATAATTGACGATTTCAGCATTTTGGGCTTAAGGGGGCAGTAGCGTCATTTGCACGTGTTTTGACGATTTTCGAACCTCCTGTTTAGACGTTAATATAAAGATAAGTATGAATGCCAGAGACAAACGGCAGGCACCATTTGAAAGATAAAAGTTTTTACAACATTTTCAAAAAAAATATTTTGTTTTAGCATTGAATTAGGATGTTTTGTGTTCTATGCAAAAATGGTCTGCAAAATTACATGGTGTCACTGCGCGCACGATTGCAGCCAAAGTTTTTAACTTTTTACCAATCGGTAAAATGCATCTGAAAAAGCATGAAATTGCCCATAAAATGACCCTTGGGTTTCAATATTGGGCAAGAAAAACTATTGAAACGCTCATCTTCAACTTAAGATGGAAACGAACCACATTTTTTCTGGCCCAATATTAAAACCCAAGGGTCATTTTATGGGCAATTTCATGCTTTTTCAGATGCATTTTACCGATTGGTAAAAAGTTAAAAACTTTGGCTGCAATCGTGCGCGCAGTGAAACCATGTAATTTTGCAGACCATTTTTGCATATAACACAAAACATCCTAATTCAATGCTAAAACAAAATATTTTTTTTTTGAAAATGTTGTAAAAACTTTTATCTTTCAAATGGTGCCTGCCGTTTGCCTCTGGCATTTATACTTATCTTTATATTAACGTCTAAACAGGAGGTTCGAAAATCGACAAAACACGTGCAAAAGACGCTACTGCCCCCTTAAGAAAAAACAGCCTAAATTTTTCAAGGGCGTTGAGCGACCTCTAATTTTGCGAAATTTGGAAAACCCCAAAACACGTGTTCCTTTTTTTTTTATATATATAAAAGATCAATTTTAACCCGGCAATCATGAGATTTCGAAAAATTTTGCAAAAGTGAAACACCCTAGTGTCATAGGGGTCCAAGAAGTAAAGGACCCATTAGATGTAAGTAGCTATTCTCCTTATGGTTGTACACAGTTATATAGAATGTTTCAGTTTACAACAGACTATTTTGCAGATCAATCCATACGAAAGACGAAATAGAAATCAGTCTGCAGGTAACTCCCGTCTTATCAGTTATCACAGTCTCATGACTATCTTTGCATGAACTATTTATTCCTTTTTATTTTTCTATGGTTGGTCTATGGTCTATGGTTGGTCTATGTTGCTTCTTAACATTGTGTTCTCAGAGAGAAGGTTTAGGAACCGATCATATAGCAGGAGCAGATCAAGCAGAAGGAGATCAGGACGTAGGTCACATAGAGACTCTAGTGATAGGAGAAGGAACAACAGACGTTCTTCGTCAGCAGGTAATGACCTTCTCTGACTTTTTATTATTCTAATTTCTTTCTTTCTTTAAATTTTTTTATATTAACATTGTGTTTTAGAGAGAATACGGTTTAGTATTATTTTCCACGAAAGAAACACCGTGTCTATTCAAAAATGTCATACCACCACTGTGATGGCAAGTTCTCAGTGAAGAAAGAAGTGTGGAACAAACTTTGGAATTGGGAAACGAACTCGTTCACTAGTCGCAGAAAGTGGGTGTTAGTTTCTAGGGAGTATATCCCGAAATTCAGGCTTCTGTGGAAACACACGTTTGTATCCTCCGGAACTAAGTACGAAGATGTCTCGGGACTCTTTCGGCTGCATTCTTATACTTGGTGTGGAACAGGTGATTGCAAGCGCTACGCTTACGAATGGTTTCCCGAAAGAAATGAAGACTCGACCATATCAGTACACTCGGCAGGAACTGAAAACCATGCCAAAGCACTTAGCAAAACGACTCAGGTGCGTGGTTGAGAAAGAGAGCTGCTAAGAGAGAAAAAACTTGCAGTACTGGAAGTCCCACTTTTGGGCCAAAACTCGCGGCCGCGACGTGGAAACCACCGCCGTGCGCTGCGGGTTGCCTACCCGAAATTCCCGTAAGGCGCCATGTTAAATTTAACCCTTCATAACTTTTTTCCTAAGGGATAAAAAAAATGCGTCTGCGGGTCAAAACGTTTCTTTTGGCCTTAACTATCGATGTGCAAAGCGGCATTGCATGCGGAAAAAGTGCAGGGTCATTTGACTAACACCGGCCACTAAGTAACAACGGTACACAAAGACAAGCTAGAAGTGATTACAGCGTTGAACCCGAAACTTGTGGAGGAAAATATCTGGGGTGGTTTGAAAAGTGATGAAGCGTATCGAAAGATGAGATCAGAGCAACTTCAGGCCAATGATCTGCACAAAGATGATTTCATTGACATTGTTCTCATGCGCCGAAAAGAGCTGCTGATGCCTTCAGAGGTGAGATATATCCAATCTGTTGCTGAACCTCTTGTCGTGCACCTCTTTTCTGAATCTGTTTTAGAAATTGTTTTTGATTACTTGAAGTATAAATCAAAAATGACCGTCCACTTTAACGCCACCGGAAAATTCATCAGATCATCTTTATACTCTGGCAACACGATTTATTTGTATTCATGCGTGGTTCAAGTGAATCAAGTTTTGATTCAACTTTTCAGCATGATTAGTTGTAAACATGATCAATTTGCGATCGGCTCAATACTTGGACACTTTAGGAAGTTCTGTGACAACCAACTTAAAAAAAAGTGGCCTTGTGTGGGAAGAGTAATCATAGACTGTAGCTTGTCACTAGTGTTAACAGCTAATCGTATGCTTTGCATCATGTGTGTTTCTGTCAGATGCTTTTTCTAACATTGGTTTATGAGTGTCTCGTCTTCTTGATCTGTACTTTCACCTACCTAAACTGGCAGTTTGGCTTATAAGCTTCCAATTTTGGTTCCTGTTCTGTCATTCTATTTCTCATGAAACTTATCGTGTTGAACCCTTAATGTTTCAGTCCAGTGAAGATGAAGGGCAGGAGGGAGGACCCTCATCTCCCCCAGGGGGTGGCAACGGCCTAGGGAGAGCGTGAAGCGATGCTCGCGCCGTCAGTGCAGAGGTTGCGCACTTGTACGAGATTATGAAAACTAGACTGTGATTTTCAAAACGCTTTGCACCGATAGAAAGGGCTTGAAATCTAGGGTGCATTAGGCTAATTGCTCTTCTCGAAACTCCCCCCTTACCTAATGTTAAGGTGCGGGAAAAAAACGATAAACATAATCATAAAATTGAGGAAAAAACTCGATTGCGCCGTGTTGATGTAAATGATTTCGCCCTCGTGTTCGGTTGAATTGGAAGTATCGGGCAGTCTACTAGGCCTAATGCACCCCAAATTTTGTGCCCTTTTGATCTGTGCAAAGCGTTTTGCAATCAACGAGCTAGATCTTACAACCGAAGCAAAATAAGTTACCCCTGCACCTCACTCGCGCATGGCTTCACGCGCCTCTGAGGCCGTTGCCGCCAACGGGTGGGTGCTCTTTGTTACGGAGTGCGATTTTTGGCTGAGTTGGCTGAGCGATAGCGAAGCCCGTTACTCCAGTGGGGTTGAAAAGTTTTGTCTGTCTGAGTGTGTGTGTGTGCACTACTCCTCCTGAACGGCTCGGCCGATGTGGCTGAGATTTTGCAGGGTCATTAGATATATCCTTGGCTCGCCACACACCAAAATTCAGCTTTCTATCTCAATCCATTCGGTCATATTAGCCAAAAAACAGTTAAAAAACGGCAGAAAAAAGACAACTTTTTGGGTACTTTCAACTTTGTGTCAAGTTTCATATCGTTTCATATGTTTTTGAGGCTGCTGATGACGAAAATAGAACCCGTTCGGACCCCCGACCGAAAGTTGAATCCGATTGGTGTAGATTTTGATGACCAAATGTTATTTTTGAGGGGATCACGCCCATTTCCACGGCCTGCCTGGAAAAGCAGCCTGCCGAAGGCAGGTTAGCGCCGCAGGCCAAGGTAGGTACGCCAGGCGTGGACGGTCGAAACTGGAGCAGCATCGCGAAGCCTGTTACGACAAGACACGGTCTGGCGTACACCTACCTTGTATTTACCGCCTCAGTATAAGGGCGGTATTGCAGCGAAGTTTGTAAGAACGTAAGAAACGTGAAAAATGTGTAGAAATCGTCGTTTGGTCTGACTTCAGGCAGCCACTGCGTCTAATCTAAGGCATGTAATCGTTCTCCCCCAACGGGTAGGTGGTCTTTAGGCCTTCCTTTAGAACACCTTTGTTACGGAGTGCGATTTACCGCCTAAGTTTGGGAGCGGTACAAATCAAAGTGGATCAAAACGATAATAATTAACTTCACCCAATTATACCGTATACTACGGTAAAATACCGTATTTTACCTTTTTTTACGTATCTTTGAATCTTACCGGTATTTTTACATACCTACACTGGGCTATACCAACGTCATACAGCAGCCAGCGAAACGCTTTTTGCTACATCGGGGCAAATATTGTTCGCTGTTTCAGCGAAAACAAAGTAGCTAACACATTTCGGAGCCAATATTCCATGTCTGCCCTGCCCCGGCGTTTAGGATTCGCTGTTCCAGCAATATTTGTTCGCTATTCCACAGCGAATTTGTCACTCGTCTCAAATCTAGAAGGCCAAAACTTGCTGAAACAGCGAATTTCTTTTTTTCCCGTGCCAGCGTAACTGGCGCAGCATCGCGAAGCTTGTTACGTCAAGCCACTGTCTGGCGTACACCTACCTTGTTCTAGTTAGACCCGTCGAAATGTCTTGCAATGAAATTTGAGCCATGTTACAGTGGCTTCGACGCAAGCGTAGGACGTACCGAAATTTCTTCATTCCATAACCGAATCTTTTTTATTGTTTTCGTGTAAGGTGAACTTTCTTCAATGACAATAGGGAATTTTAACGAATCCCCGGCCCGGAAGTCAAAGAATAAAAGTAAGAACCAAAACGGCTTCTGCGCATGCGCAGACGCTGCCTCAGAGTGGAGGGGGGACCTCTGCGCATGCGCAGAAGCCGTTTTGGTTCTTACTTTTGTTCTTTTATTTCCGGGCCAGGGATTCGTTAAAATACCCTATTAGAGCGTAGCGCTGCGTAACACTTGCGTTGGTGTCTTTGTGTATGTGTAATTCAAACCAAAAATTTATGGTGGAGGAAAAAGAGCGATAATTGTACAGGCCCTTGTGAAGGGCGTGAACTGTGTGTTTCAGGTATCAAAACGCTTTACGCCTTTAAAAGGGGCAGTGTGTTTGCCTTTGTCTTCCCCTATCAATCTTGATACGCATGTTTTACGGACGTTCCAATGATAATGTGATTGCGCACACCGAATCAGCGAGCACAAAAGTACGTACACTGTTAAAACAGTGTCTGGAAGGGCCTGGGAAACCCGGACTCTGGTCTTGCCGTGTGCTGAGTACTTAAAAACAGCACTCACGCGTGTACTGAGAACACATTCAATTTTTCAGTGAAGACCAGGGGGCCAATAACCGCTTCCGAATAAGATATTTTGACGAATCCCTGGACCGGCAATTTAAGATCAGATGTAAGAACCTAAAGCGCTTCTGCGCATGCGCTGATGTACCCTCTCCGCTCTGAAGCAGCGTCTGTGCATGCGCAGGAGTGGTTCTGTTTCCTACTTTTGCTCTTTTACTTCCGGTCCAGGGATTCGTTTAAGGGGGCTCATACATGTTAAAAGCACTTCGCAAAAAAAAAATTTTTATGTAGAAGGATCAAGATTTTATGGTTTCTGTATTAAAACCTGGTTACATAATTGAGTAAGTAAAGTGACTTTGAACACTTTTTGGAAAATTAGTAGAAGCGTTTAAAATTTTGGTGCTCGTAAAATTTCGATCGCATACTTGTTCAGATCTGTGGGGGGGAATATCAGGGAGACTCATCCCTAGTAGTGTCATAGAATTGACTAGAATGGGCTTCTTATCTGCAATAGTTTTCACGAAAAAAATAACCATTGTTTGAAGTATTTTTTAAAATAATTTTGAACAATAACATGAAAAGTAGCGATATACATCGGCAACTTTGGCCCGTCCCGTACATTAAGAAACGTACGAATTTCTCCTATGTTTGACCCTGACGGGAATTAAATCTGAGTCTGGGGTTAAAATAAATGTCGTTTTCGTCATCAGCACCCTCAAAAACATCAGAAACAATGCAAAAACTCGAAAAAAAAGAATGTTCCAAAAATACCCCGCTGGGATTTGAACCCGGGTCCGAACTTCTCCGATTTGCGCGAAACTGGCACCATTGGTTTTCTCTCGTCGCCCCGATTCCAAAAATACCCCTACATGCCCTCCTAGCTGCATCCGTTGCCGAGTTCCTCCTCGACCCCATGTAGACCATGATGCACCTGCAGCAGCGCCCCGGGGCTCGGATCGGATTTGCTGCCACCGGGCGGTTCTTAGGGTCCCAAGGAGGCTGCATACCAAATTTGGTCAAGATCGGACCACGGGAAGTCCTCGGACGAACGAACGAACGGACGAACGAACGAACGAACGAACGGACGCACAGCATGCATCATACTATATGCCCGTCCCTCCGTCATTTTTTTACAAAAAATAAACGGGACGGGCCAAAAAATTGTTTTTTTTTTTTTGAAAACTATTGCAGATAAGAAGCCCATTCTAGTCAATTCTATGACACTACTAGGGATGAGTCTCCCTGGTTTTTCCCCCACAGGAAGTATGCGAACTTACGAGATCCATAATCTTAAACGTTTCTACTGAATCTCCAAAAAGTGTCCAAAGTCACTATACTTAAGCCAAAATGAAGCTTACTCAATAGAAACCATAAAATCTTGATCCTCCTACATCAAAAAATATTGTTGCAAAGTGCTTTTAACATGTGCGTGCTTCCGGTCCGTGGCAGCGGCGGAGTTTAGAACCCTGTTTGAGACTTTGCATTTCGCAGCAGAATGCCTCCCAAGAAAAGAGCACAATCGAGCGCTGCAAGTGATGTCAGCAAGAGGTCCAGGCAGGGAAGCAGTCCGTCTCAGCGCCTAGGAGGATCTCCAACTGACAGGTATGGTGGCGAACACTTTATTACTTCCCGTTGGTTCCTTACCTTCGCTAGTTTTCTCTTCTTCTCTCAAAGTCAATGGGGTATTTCTGAGGGGGTAACCACTCGCGTAATACCCTGTACACGAAAATCGTGTAAACGCGTAATACACGTGATCGTAATACCATCTGTGGGTCAAATGTGCCAAATTTTGGCATTTTAAGGTCGTAATACATGTGAAATACCCCCGTAATACAGCGTAATACCGAGTAGTCTGTACACGATTCTTGAAGTGTTTACCCCCTCGGGTATTTCGAAGGTGGCGTTGGACCAGAAGTAAGAGAAATTAAAACGCCATTCCAATTTGACCCTCTCAGGCGGATTTACGTTTGGCAGAAGTATGACGTACGTCCGCTCAGATATAAACCGAGCGCCCTTTGAGTGATCATCTGCCAGAACAACGTAACTTCACAGGGAATCCTACGGTAGATGCGAATGCCACACATTTAAAAGACGCGCAGTCAGTCAAGCCAATATTGGCTCAACCGGGAGAGCATTTCTATCTTCTGTGCTTGTTTCTCTTCCACCACAAGCCACCAGCGAATTAAGATACTTTCGTGGATCATGGTCCGTAAGTCAACAGATGCCATATTTGCCGGAGCCTTATCTCCTGCCAGAGCAACCAAGCGTTGCAAATTGTGAGGAAAACCAAAAGTAATTATCATGGGACTTAAATGTTCAATTTTGACCAAATTTGACTATGCACTTATAAAAGCTTGCAAAGAAAGGCGAAGCAAGCACCGGGTCGGTCAGAGGGCCAGCTGACCCCCCAGTTTTTGAGCTGCCCCGGGGCAATCCCCTGCGAGGTAGGCAACATGCAATACATTGACCTCCCAACTTTTTTGACGTTCCTACGCGCCTGTCGTAGTATGGTAGTAATTTGTCAAATAATCACCGTATGTACGACTCTGACTCGAATCTGGGCATTGGAGCAATTAAGAGAAGGGATTTCGCAGAATTTCCCTTTAAAATTATGGAAGATTTCACGGAAATTCACCAGATTTTGAAGAAATTTCGTGAGATTTCGCCAGACTTAAAAGAGATTTCATGACATTTTTACCAATTTCTTCGCACAAGATTTCTGTCACTGACGTGTACTCAGGATTTCGCGAGTGGTTGCACCCTTGGACCTGACCTTACACATAACTTTGACGTACACTGAAAATAGAAAGGTCAGACTTCTGACCCCTATAACGGTCCTACTGAAATGTACGACCGAAAAAGGGTCATACTGAAATGTAAGACAGAAAAATGGTCATACTTTGTAGTGTATCACAGGCAAAGGCTGATATATCCCTAAACAATAGCCAGTCTTGCTAATGTCTCACCTTTTTTTGGTCATACATATAAGTCTGACCCTTTTTCGGTCATACATTTGTGTATGACCGTTTTTCGGTCATACTTTTTGTATCACCGAAAATCGGTCAGATGCCTCACCCTTCGAATTTTAGTGTAGTCATTCCTTCCTCTTAGAGATGGTTCTTGCAGATGATCATTGTGTATTTTTAGTGCTAATCTTCCCGCGTCGCAATTTGTTGGTGTTTGATATTTGCAGACTGTCGATGGAGTCGGAGGTCGTGACAGTGAAGGAAGAGTCCTCGGGTCCCGAAACTACCAACATAAGTGGCAGCACTCCACATCCCAAGTGAGTAGAATGAGTGCCGTTCAGAAAATGCCGACAGATTACACCTAAAAAATCTTGCAAAGAATGTGATTGCAATGACAAGAAAATTCTCTGTACGCTGCATAGAAAACAGGACTATTGTAATGCAAACATTTTTTGCAAGTTTTTATACACTGGTAAAAATTTTGTCGCAACTTAGCAACATATTTATTGCTAACTTTTTTAGCTACTAAATATGTTTCAGAATAAATAGTTTGCTAAACCATAGTCGTATCGGAACTGAAGGGTAATTTCACAATGAATTACTTGTCGCAATGTATTGACAGACCAGCTTCAACATCAAGTCGTTGACCACCCACAAATGTTGTTAGTCAATGACAAGTGTTGTTAGTCAAAAAAGATTTTGTAATATCTGTGTCAAATATTCTTTGAGCACTTTTGCCGCAAATCTTATTTTTCATGGTTCTACTTCCTGTAACAGTAATCTCCCTATGACTTAGATGAATAAAATAGCTGATATTATTCATCACTTAATTTGATTCAGAAGTTAATGGCAAAAGATATTTGCGCACAAATTACATCAACAAGAATTTTGTTTTTTTTACGACAAAGTGTCGCTTTCTAGATTCAACGACATTTGTTTTGCTATGGTTCTTGATGACATTGTATGTTTTGGAATGACTAAATTTACACTCGTCTGATCGTTTCAGTACAACCATTTTCAAGAGTGTACGAAGAAATTTTTTTGTGAGGCTACGTATAAGGTTTTGTGTAGACTTTTTTTAACAATAATTCATCAACTTGTGAAAAACGGACTGCCCGCCCCTTTGTTAAAATGACATGCCATATCATTGAGTTGTCAAGGAGACGGATAACATTTTATTCTCAAAATTTGTTCTGGGGCGTTACAATTAAACTTATTTGTGGATGCAAATGAATACTATACGACGCCGCAATTAGTTTTATCTGTAGCATATGTTTGCAAGGTGCACATAAATTTGTTCGCCTCTTACGACGCCTTATTCAAAATTACGACGCCTCATACAAAAAGTTTTCTTTGCTGAACTTGCAAAGAGGTTTCTACTGCAAAGGCGAACATTTCACCGCAGCCAGGCAATATGTTTCCTTTGCAGCCTTGCAAAGTAACTTTTTCCATACAAAGGATTTTCTTCGCAAGGTTGTTTGAGTGTAGTTTCCACTCAGCCAAGAACCGCTGTCAGAGTTCTCATGTCCATGTGGATTGTGTGTCGCGCAGGTTCTGGTGCCGGGACTGCGGCGAGGATGCCGCGGAGGACTGCAAGGACTCTGGCCACTCCGTGTGCTCCCTCCGCCAGCTTCGCACAGAACAGGCCGCCCCCAAACTGCAGCGTCTGGACAAGGTGGCGACGTCGGCGCGCGAGGTGGTGAAGGCCCTGCTGGACGCCAAGGGCGTGCTGGAGGCCCAGCTGGAGCAGTGGCGGGGCAGGCTGCGGCACGTCGAGGAGGCCAAGAACGAGCTGTGGGCGGCGGCGGACGAGGGCCGGGACCTGGAAGAGCCTACACTAGAGGAGGGCCTGGAACAGCTGCTGCAGGACGCCACCACTCTCCTCCAGGCCAAGTGCCAGCTGCAGGTGGACTCGCCCTGCTCCACCTGGAACGCCAAACTTCAGGTGACGGCTGCAGGCTCCCAACCCACGTTACTTGGCCCACTGGTGCTGCAGCTTCACCAGGACAGGACCCTTACCAAGGTACGTAAGTTCGGAACCCTAGCCCACAGACTGATGACTGTTCACACGGGATGCGAATTTAGACAGGTCTACAGTGTGATAAAAGTCATTCGGGTGTTTTCATGTCAAAGAAGCACACCTCCTGCTTGATTTGACCTGATATTTTGGTGGGAATTCCTTTTAATTGCTTAAACTGACACCCCAAGGGAAGGGTACTCAGCCTTCTTATTCTGGCTATCAAATTAGATCTCTTTTGAAATAGAAAAAAGATAGCGTCAGGGCGGCACACTGCAATGCTAGTGGTAAGTTTACTTGCCACGAATTTAGCAAGCCGTTTTGAATGCCAAAACGGACGCTTGGCCCGCAAATACTTCCCAGCTTGCCAATATTTGGCAAGCTTATGAAGAGGGCCGACCAAAGCTTGCCAAATTTTGGCATTCAAAACGGCTTGCCAAATTTGTGGCAAGCAAACTTACCACTGGCTTTGCAGTGCACTTACAAGGCGGCTGCTCAGCGCTGCTTATCGCTGTCGGATTGGGTATCCGATGCCACTGCCTATGCCACGATTTCTACTTCTCGGTACACCTGCTTAATGCTATGTGCTCTTGCTGCATTTGCACTTGCTTTTTAGTATACGTCTGATTTGCAAAACTGTTCTGCGATCGAGAGTTGAAGGTAGCTGATTTAAAAATGATCTGCTAAAAATGCTTTTTGAAATATATTTGACGGCATACACTGGGCCGAAACTTCCGAATGCGGTAATGGTATCGTTTTCTTACGTCTTACAAGGTTGAATTGGGAGAATATGAAGGTGAGGTATCTTTTCCTTTGTCGCAAGGAGAATGTGGAGAAGAGACAACTAAAAGTATATGTAAACCTCCATAACTCAGAGAGTTTCAACCACCAAATGAACCTTTTCTACTCTTCCTTATGTAGGACATCAAAATTTCTTTGTACAGTATTCAAGTATACAGTATACAGTATTTAAGGTTATAGTACAGTGTTAAAAAGTGGCTACGGGGCATTTTTTAAATACTTGTGTCAGATATCTCTATTAAGGGGTAAAAGTTCCTCTTTTACATAAACTCATACCCTTAGACTAGGGTCCCAAGTCCTTAAGTTTCTGAGTTGTGGAGGTTTACGTATACTTTTAGACGTTTCTTCCAAATTCTTTTCACGGCAAATGATTATCTACCCAGTCTTCAGATTCTGGCAATTTTATCTATTTTTGAAAAGGAAAGAGATAGCGTTGCACTTTTTTTTTATATCTGCCTTAGTTTTCCTGAAAAACCAAATACAAGACCAAAATGGGTCAATATCTCACAAATTGGAAGAAAAATAAAAATAGGCCTGGTAAAATAGCTTGTACAGCCTTTTCTGGACTGATATCTCCAAATCTGCCAACGCTATCTTTTTTCTATGCAAAAATAGATAAAATTGCCTAAATCTGAAGACTGGGCAGCTTATCCCTTGTCGTGAGGAAAATTTGGGAGAAACGACTACAAGGCAGGGTTACGCCAGACCGCGTCTTGTCGTAACAGGCTTCGCGATGTCTCGCTGCCTGCACTGCAAGAAAAAGTGTGGATAGTACAACAAAAAAACAACAAAAAATGTACAATAAAGTACAAAGGGGTTGTAGAAAGTACAACGAGAATTTTACAAACCAAACGAGCCCTGGACTGCACAGCACTCGTCATGCCGGGTCGATTGTACTTTGTACAACAAATTTTTGTACTTGAAAAGTACACTAAATTCCTGATAAAATTTGCCAGAAAATTGTGTACTTTTGTTGTGGTTATTTCCTGCAGTGTGTTCCTCCAATCCGCGCCTGGCCTAAGGGAGTATGGGGCGATTTGTAACAGATTTCGGAATTCTCTATACAAAAATTTAAAAACATTCTGCATATCGGGGTCAAACTTGTGCCAGTTGAGCAGTCTGGCCCTTCATCTAGACTGTGCCTCCATTGGATCAATCTGGAGTCCGTAATCTTTGAAATCTAAACGTTTTCCAAACCCTTTCATGCTGTTGCGAATCGCCCCCAGGGGTGATTTGTAACAGCCATGGGGCTTTTCATAACATCCTACACATTAAATGAAACATCGTCGGGGAAAGTTATCTCCTCCACCAGTTGTTCTTCGGGTGTCCTGCAGACGTCTAAAAAATTTCATTACAAGCTGCCGTTGACCGCCTCAGCATTAACTGATAGGGTATGTCAAACCTAACCTCACTTTTTTCAATTCAATTCAAAGGAAAGCATAGAATAACTCGCTTTAAAATGCATTTTGAGCTGTGTAAATGTATTGGAATAAAACAGCAGATGATTCGAGAAATAATTCAAGCATTTAACAGCAAAAACTAGCAAGAAATCCGTCCCTAACTAACACTGGACAAAGTAAAAGCAACTTATGCCACGTGTTTACATTGTAAAGGGGTCACGCTTCAATGCCCCAACGGTACTTCGATGGTGATTCATACCGGGGGAGCCTCAGACAGAAACTATCTAGAACTCAAAATGAAAGATTTGCCTGTTTGCCGAAATTTCGGTGTACCCTATATTTCAGACGCCCTCCAAAACTATACCTGAGCACCGATCACCTCCGCTTCGATTGTTCAAGGACCCTGTGCTTGAAGCGAAAGAGGGGCCATACTTAAATTTTCCTCTGCTCCCTCCACTTAAATTAATAAACGCATTTGTTACAAATCGCCCCATACTCCCTTACCTACCTTGGCCTGCGGCGCTAGCCTGCCTTCGGCAGGCAATGGCTTCTCCACCGTCAGTTACTTCTAACTTGTTGCGTGCTGGACCCCACTTCATTCTGGATAGAGTTTCTTCATCTACAGATAACACGATCTTGACCCTTCTAACTTTAAGGCTCGTCTGGAATGGGGGGCCTCGCCCCCCAGACCCCCCCTTGCTTTAAGGCAGAAGTGATCAGCCTGCAGAAAACTCGATTTTTCGCCGTTTTTAGGTGTTTTTCGCCTATAACAAGGTAGGTTTACGCCAGACCGCGTCTTGTCGTAACAGGCTTCGCGATGTCTCGCTGCCTGTTCCTCCAATCCGCGCCTGGCATACCTACCTTGGCCTGCGGCGCTAGGCTGCCTTCGGCAGACAATGCTTGTCCATCATCAATTATTTCTGAACTGTTGCATACTGGGGGGCTCCGCCCCCCCCCCCCCCCCTTCATTCTAGATAGAGGTGCTTCATCTACAAAATTTCACGATCTTGACCCTTGTAACTTTTCAACTTGTCGAGGCTGGGGGGCGGAGCCCCCCAGACCCCCCTTTCCCTCCAGACAGGTAGGTCGACCGACCGAAAACTCGATTTTTTGCCGTTTTTTAGGCGTTTCTCGGCTATAAAAACTGAACCAGTAGAGCTAGGATGGTGATATTTCGCGTGTGCCGAGCCAAGAACATACCTAATAAGCCTGCAAAATCTCAGCCAGATCGGCCGAGCCGTTCAGAAGGAGTAGTGTACACACACACGCACACACAGACACACAGACAGACAAAACTTTTCAACCGCACTGGAGTAACAGGCTTCGCTATCGCTCAGCCAAAAACTGAACCAGTTGAGCTAGGATAGTGAAATTTCACGTGTGCCGAGCCAAGGACATACCCAAAAAGTGTGCTAAATCTCACCGAGATCGGCCGAGCCGTTCAGGAGGAGTAGTGCGGACACACAGACAGGAGTAACTCTCCAACCCCACTGGAGTAACAGGCTTCGCTATCGCTCAGCCAAAAAGTTTACATAAACCTCCATAACTCAGAAACTAACAGGAGTTGGGGCCCCCAACTTTGGGAGTAAATTCATCTAATAGTAGCTGAATTTTGACCACAAAATGATCTTCCTGTGACAAATATTTCTAGGACATGCTAGTTTCATTTTACATTAGAGTCCTCGTAAAACAAAGGCATAAAAACTACGCCCTTCGCAAAAGGTAATTGGCTGAGCGATAGCGAAGCCTGTTACTTCAGTGGGGTTGAAAAGTTTTGTCTGTCTGTCTGTGTGTCCGCACTACTCCTCCTGAACGGCTCGGCTGATCGCGGTGAGATTTTGCACACTTTTTGGGTATGTCCTCGGCTCGCTACACGCGAAATTTCATTATCCTAGCTCAACTGGTTCAGTTTTTATAGCGGAAAAACACCTAAAAAACGGCGAAAAATCGAGTTTTCTGCAGATAGATCATTTCTGCGAGAAAGGGGGGTCTGAGGGGCAAGTGACAAGGGTCAAGATCGTGTTATCTGTAGATAAAACAACTCAATTTAGAATGTAGGGGGGTCCCAGCATTCAGCGAGTCAAAATCAACCGACAATGGACAGGCTAGCGCCGCAGGCCAAGGTAGGTACGCCAGGCGTGGATTGGAGGAACAGGCAGCGAGACATCGCGAAGCCTGTTACGACAAGACGCGGTCTGGCGTAAACCTACCTTGTAAACTATTGACGCCGTAAGGGCAATGCATAGTTTTTATGCCTCTGTTTCACCAGTCGGGTAGCTTTTCGGTTCCTTGTCTTACGTGGGCCTTAAATCTGCGAAATCGTTCGAGTCTATTGGCCATTTGTTGTCACCGACATATGACTGTCTACCGCTACACTCCTCAGGGCTCTTCGCCGAAGTTTTCACGGTAGAAAACGTACCTATGAGACGCTAGCACCCATTTTGTCTTTGTTAAGGGCATCGCTTAACGTTTTCAGTGTCTTGCCCCTTAATGAGCGCGGTCACCAAAGATTGCCGTACTGCTTCCAGGTTTTCCGTCCCGAAGAGTGTATGAATGTCACTAAACTGTGCACGGAGGAGAAGCACCGCAACGAGCTGGATGACACCTTGCGAAGCCCAGACCTGGACAAGGTAAGGCGCGGGACTTTTGTATTTCTTATCCTCGCAGCTTTGCTCGGCTAGTCCAAGTCTCATGAGACATGCACCCTAAATGTTTTTGTACACATTTTGTACGAGACATCACAGTGTTTTATTTTTGTAAACACGAACTTTTCGTACTAGTTTGTACGCCAATTTGCACCAAAATAAGGAGAAATATGTGCAGCTTTTCGTATTAGTATGAAAAGTTCGTGAGCCCTTAAAACCGATGTCGCGTACAAAGTAGAAAACATTTAGTGTGTGGTAAGGCCTGCTCCTCGTACATCTTGTGCAACAACGTTAAATCTTATCTCGCAGATGAACTTCATATGAGAAAAACTGCACATTTTTATCTACTTTTGTGGCGGAAATCACTTTTAATTTGTTACAAGTAGTTCATCTGCACTAAAAACTGTATTGTCTCGTGGAAATACTTGTGCTAATACTTGTGCAGGCAGTAACGCGGAGTGCGCTTGCATGTTGCAGTTGAGGAAGCTGGACGGTGTTTGGTGCAAGCAGCGGCCCAACTGGTGCAAGGTGCTGCTGCAGCGCGTCGCCGCGCACGTCGAGTGGCTGTGGGTCGCTAAAGCCGTCCGTGAGCACCTCGAGGTGATTCAGGACATGCCCGGGCTACGCTTCTTACGCGTCTACTTGTTGAATACTGTCGAGAACGCCCCAGGGCTGCCGCTGCAACTCGAGGATCTGCAGGTGGTGAATGTCTCAAAAGAACACCTCCAGTCGGTGCAGCGGATGTCCAGGCTGCGTAAACTCGTCTTGGACTGGTACTCCCCCGGTGCGCTGGACGTGGCGTTCCCCCCTCTGCCCGCGGGTCACTGCGGCCTGCAGTGGCTCGATGTCCGCCTCCGGCCGGCCTCCACCGTGCTGTCCCTGGCCAAGGCCCACGCCGCCACACTGCAGGAGCTGCGGATCCTGTGCGCGTCCGAGGGAGACGGTCCGTGGCACTTCAAGGACCTGGCCGAGGGGCTGCGCCAGTGCGGGCTGGTGGCGCTGCGGCGCGTAGTGCTGGTGCGTGGACCCGCTCCCGTCAACAACCTTCCCCACGCGCCAGAGTCGTGCCAGCTGCAGAAGGAGGCCATCTGGGACAGACTCTTGGCGAGGGACTCGGAGAAGCCAGTGAGAATAGTGAAAGTCATGTGCGCGGAGTGTGACAAAGACTGCCCCGCATATCCGCCTCTGGGGGACTTTACCTGGAATGACGATTGATACAGTGCTTCGTCTCAATTAGTCTTTCTTCTTTGTTTTCCTTTGAATCAAGACATCGTTTGTTCCTTTTTATAAACCTCCACGGCTGATTGTTGCGCGTTTGTCATGCTTCGTTGAGATGTCCACCAGACGTCATGTTGCCACGACTGTCATGCGGACTCGTCCTTGAGGCAGTCGTGCCAGTGTCAAGATGCATCTGTTCTTGTATGCCATGTGCAATGTGCAGCAATGTTTCTTCTATGTAATCTCAGACCATAAAATCCTTCCAAAAGGATTTAACAATTGGATTTTCTCAGCTTCATTTATTTGTTCAAAAAAAAACGTGATTTTATATAGTTCCACACAGATTCCGGTGTTGCTGACGTAATGAGATATAATTATTGGTTTGGTGAAATAGAACAAGATTACTGAGCCTCTTTTCTATTTGAATCGTGGCGTTGTTAGTTCTTTAATCACAAACTTGTTTGTCATGTTTGGTTGGCGCTTCAATTCCCACTGCCTGATGTCCAGTTCAGTGTTGAAATGTTATTTTATCTATGTGCTTTCATTCACAATCAAGGTCTCGTTTGTTATTTTACAAACCATTAAAAGCTTTTCAAACCATTAAACGGTTTAACTTTTTGAGCTTTCCTCAAAGTTTTCTAAGAAGTCTTTTTTGCTGTCCTTCATAGATTTGATTGTGTGGCTAGTGTCTGTGATGTCGGAAGGTTCACAGTACCTAGGGGTAGGTTGGGTAAGAAAAGTACACTCGAGGCTCGGGTAAGAAAAGAACACCTGCTATATCGCCGAACTGAAACTACTCTGAACCATCACCTTAGCGGTTTTAGAAAGATTGGTCATCCCGCTGACAAAAAATTAATTAAGCCCCGTTCTACATATAATATTTAGAATCAAACTGCACGGTTGAAAAAACACACTAAAAATGACTATGACAATCTTTTTTTAAACTGTTAGTACTTTCAAGTACAGCTTCCTGCAGAATCAGCCGACAGTCCAATGTAAGGTACCACCTTATAGCTTAGACAATCATCTTTGAAAAACAGTGCCGTTCGATGCTCTTAGGCTTCAACACAATTTTTTTTTAGTGTAAAAATGAAACGGGGAAGAAAAGTACAGTCAGCTGGGGAAGAAAAGTACAGGCATTGGGGAAGAAAAGGACACCCTGTAAAAAACTTAAAGCGGGATGAATATTGAATTGATCGCGGAAACAGGTTTGATTAGGCGAGACAAGCAAAAAATGTCAACACATGTTATAGGATTAGACCAATTGACCGATTTTGACGAAACTTGAACTACATTAATGGCAAGTGAAAACTCTCCACTTTAGGTGTAAACCTGTATTGAGCCAAGATTGGGGGTCCTCTGGGTTCGAAATCGCATTTCGTTTCGTTGTACTTTTCTTTCCCGGTGGTGTACTTTTCTTACCCTTTTCGAGAAGTACCGAGATCACATATATTTTGACATGTTGTACGTAATGTGGGGACCTACAATCATTGAACAGTGATCCATTTCATCAGGAAGGGACTGGATTGTAAGTTCACGAGATCAGAATAGTTGAACCCTCATTTGGAACTGCTGTACAGTGCAAAGTACGCGTTTTGTACTTTTCTTCCCCACCCTACCCCTATCGCCGTTCTAAAGGCAATACTTTTCCGAAAGGCCGTTAATTGGCCATATTCAATTGTATCGCCAAAAAAGGTACTAAAAGTATTGCCTTTGTATTTACAGTGCACATTCGTTAGAATGTGAATTTTGTCACGTTCGTTTGAAGACGATGTCACATTCGTTGGAACGTGACACGGCCATCACGCGGCCATCTGATACGGGTGTCACATTCGTTGAAGCGAGGATCAACATTCAAACGAATATGACAACATCCACATTCAAACGAATGTGACAACATCCACATTCAAACGAATGTGACAACATCCACACTCAAACGAATGTGACAACATCCACATTCAAACGAATGTGACAACATCCACATTCAAACGAATGTGACAACATCCACATGCTAACGAATGTGACGTCACATTCGTTGAATTACAGTGGGTGGCGCCGAAGTGGCGCTGAGTTTCGGTGGCGACCCGAGTGGGGCTTTGGCCCGCCGAGTGGCGCTGGAGTGGCCACTTCGCGGAATCGGTGGCGATTTGCCTCGGCCGGCGGATTGGGGATGAGGGACTTTGCCGCGCTCCTCGGCCCCCGGCCGGCCGAACCTGCGCGCCGAAACGCAGTGGCAGTGGCGACTTGAGCGCTCTGGTGGCGATCGGAGCTCGCTCTGGTGGCGCACTGGTCTACTCAGGGTCTGGCAACCGCAGAGCACGGAGCAGCAGAGCGCCCGAGAGCGTCGCATGGTGTTGTTGTGAGCCGTGCCTTGGTCAGAGCAGGTACTTCGCCGGACCAGCAGGTTTTCTATGTTTTTGGCGTGGTGATCGTGACTGTGTACATCAACCTCTACGATTTCGCTGCATTGCTGGCTAACTATTGCTACAGAGGTACGTCGTTTCTACGTAATGAGAAAGCTTGACTCCGTAAATGAAACACGTGGGGATCGAACGGCAATATTGACAACCCTTCCAACAAAAGTGAAGTTAAAATGACCACACTGATCGTAGTGGAACGAGTTGATATAACTCGTTGTCATTTTCTCTAGATTTTTGGTTTCATCTTCCAGTACCGGTGTGGTAATATTTACCAAAACCTAGTCAAT